CTTTCCCTGGCTTTACAGCAAAGACTGGATTGCAGTTTTAAGCATGACCCTGAGTAAGTGGCCGCACTGCACACTTCTGCCTGCTCTGGCCCTGCCCTTTGCCACACGCAACCAGGGACTGTAAAGCTTGCTCATTCTCCAAACTGTTTGACTGGAAGGAGGCACCAATTCAGAGAGCTCTGTGTGAGACAAGGGAATTATCTCCTTCTGATACCAAATGCTGCAGAGCGTTAACCCATCCTTTCCTTCTAAGTGCATTCACAGAGACCTCGCTGCCCGGAATATACTAGTGACCCATGGAAAAGTGGTGAAAATATGTGACTTTGGCCTTGCCAGAGATGTAGTGAACGACTCCAACTACATCATCAGGGGCAACGTAAGTTCCCAAATGCTCTCTATTTTTCATACCATTGTAAGAACGATAAGGAACCAAGAAAGTGAAGCTTTGCATTTTCAAATTCCTTGTTATCTTTATAGATATCTGTACAGACAGTGCAGAAATCTCACTTTTTCCTGCCCTTGGCAAGTGCAAATTCATAGCTTACCATTAACCTAATCAAGCTAGTACTGTAAATGAGATGGTACCCATGTCCTTTCTAAAACGCGCTGAAATCGTTGATGGAAGTGCTGGGAATTGTTTTCTCCTACGGACAATAATAGTATAGGGACAACAGCATATGTGTGGGGTACACCAGATCCTCTGGCTATATGAAGAAGTACAGGGTGGACATCTCCATCTGAGCTACTCACTCTGGAATTCAGAGAAGGGAAGAAAGCTCTTCCAGGGATGAGCTCGTCTCTTCCTTAAATAGTCATCTAAAATGGGTGAGAGGAATTGGCTCCTTAGAAGTGCCTATCTCTCTCTCTAAGGGAAATTTAAAGGGGCTACTAAGAGAGGCCCAGCTTCTCACATAGCAAACGTGAATTGATCCTACTCAAGCAGTGAGAACCAGAGTGAGTCATCTAGAAAGCCTGTGTCACAACATGACCCGGCCTCCTTTCCCCCTGTCTATACAGGCTCGTTTACCAGTTAAATGGATGGCTCCTGAAAGCTTATTCGAGATGACGTACACAATGAAGAGTGATGTCTGGTCTTATGGAATATTACTATGGGAAATATTCTCTTTGGGTATGTTCTGTAATGCAGCAAAAGAGCACTGCTTGGTTTTGGCAACTTCTGAATTAACATGTATTCTCCAATATTTTCCACAGGTGTAAATCCCTACCCTGGTATTCAGGTTGATACAAACTTCTACAAATTAATACAAGGTGGATTTAAAATGGACCGACCGTATTATGCTACAAAAGATGTGTAAGTGTGTTTCCTGACTAATTCACAGTATGGGAATTTATATTTACTAGGTCACTGTTTCTATGACCTTTTATTTATTGTACACTGTACCTTGCTCAAAAAAATCGCAAAAGGTGAGATCTTCCTCTAACTCTGAAAAAGGCTGCTTGATCATGTAGGTTTTGTCCTAAAGCAGAAGTGATCAACACTAAAGGTTATGTGTGTTTGAAAGGACTAATTTATTATCTGGATTTAAGTGTGCCTTCCTTTCCCAGGGAACTTCTTGTTCTCAGATCACAGACTTCTTTATCCTTTTGTTTTTGCAAAACCTATGTTATATCATATTAATTTTGGATATTAGCTAAACCTTTGGTGATTTTTTCTAAACTTCTTTTGTTTTTTTAATTGAGCTTTAGCATGTTTGATTCAGTTCCCAGAGGCTAGGGATCATCTTAGAGAAAAACTCTGCTAAGGAAGAGTTGGCGGGAGCTATTCCTGTGCTCTCAGCACATGATTTTCAGCCTGTACCTCTGTGCCTGGGTGGACTCTGCCTAGAGGCGGAAAGAGAAGAGAAGAGAAGAGAAGAAGAGAAGAGAAGAGAAGAGAAGAGAAGAGAAGAGAAGAGAAGAGAAGAGAAGAGAAGAGAAGAGAAGAGAAGAGAAGAGAAGAGAAGAGAAGAGAAGAGAAGAGAAGAGAAGAGAAGAGAAGAGAAGAGAAGAGAAGAGAAGAGAAGAGAAGAGAAGAGAAGAGAAGAGAAGAGAAGAGAAGAGAAGAGAAGAGAAGAGAAGAGAAGAGAAGAGAAGAGAAGAGAAGAGAAGAGAAGAGAAGAGAAGAGAAGAGAAGAGAAGAGAAGAGAAGAGAAGAGAAGAGAAGAGAAGAGAAGAGAAGAGAAGAGAAGAGAAGAGAAGAGAAGAGAAGAGAAGAGAAGAGAAGAGAAGAGAAGAGAAGAGAAGAGAAGAGAAGAGAAGAGAAGAGAAGAGAAGAGAAGAGAAGAGAAGAGAAGAGAAGAGAAGAGAAGAGAAGAGAAGAGAGGGTGGTGGGGAGCTACAAGACCTGGAGCATGGAGGAAAGGGAAGGACTTTAGGTTGTCTGAGCTCTTCTGGCAGACATTTTCATAGATGGCCTACAGACTCAGTGCCTTGCTATGGCACTGTACCATTCTCATCCTCTCCATGTAGAGACTGTAATAGCATCAAAGGTACAGGTAAATCTGACAGACTCACCTGAGAAAGGTGGCTGTGGGGCTTATAAATACCAGGGAATTCATTAACCTGGTAAGTTTGCAAGCGACTTTAGCAGCTAGGCACTGCACTGGTCCCTGATGCAACTGTAAAATCTCTAAGGTGGTGTTTAAACTTCAGAAAGATTTTTGTGATGTCAGATTCCACAAAATGACTCACTGTGTAAACTGTCCTCAAGATTACAGAGTCCAAAAGGAGCAGGTTCAGCCCCAGAGTCAGACAGGAATTGTCTTCCTACCATTTTCTTTATGGAAGCTGGAAAATGAGGTTAGCATGCCAGTATGTGCCAGACAGGGTGAAATCCTGGCCCCAATCCTATGAGGAGGATTTTGCTAAGGACTCCAGTAAAGCCATGTTCTTCATTTCACCCTTTTTTCTCATCTTTCTGTATCTTTTCCTCTGATGCAACATGCTAAATCTGGCCTCTTTCTATAAAAACATTCTGGTGTCCCATGATTCCCATCCAAATTCTGCACTTCCATGTAGTCACTTACAGAGACTCCAACAGCTAACATATTTTCTGTCACCTCTTTGTTCCTGCAGCTATCATGTGATGCAGTCCTGTTGGGCCCTTGACTCCAGAAAAAGACCCTCTTTTTCTTGGCTGGTTTCCTCTCTTGCCTGTCAGCTGGCTGAGGCAGAAGGAGCAGTA